TTATATCTCACTCATCTTTTGGCTGTTATTAGACGTTACCATATTTTTTATGCTAAAACTTCCTGTTTTTCCCCAACTTCATTTCTCTTTCTTTCTTCTTCTTTGTCACTAACAATTGAAACTTTTATGCAGAAATGAAAGCTTGAACACATGATGAAGGTTGCAAGCTCAATGACCATTTGACTTACTCCTAATACCAAGAAACAACTTGAAGAATCCATACTGTAGCTGCAGACTCAGATTCCTGATCATTCCCCTTATTCATTTGTACTTGTCTTTATTATCATCATTCTTCTATAAAATAAAAAATCCACTTGATTCTCTTCACCATATCCTGTTCATTTCAATGTGTAGATGATTCGAAGGGCAATCGAGGAGTTGAATCAAACTAAAGGATCAAGTAAAGAAGCCATATCCAAGTTTATCATGGAAAATTATTAACGCATCCCATTTGCTCATGAGGTTCTATTGAGTAATCATTAGTAGAAACTTTGTGATAGAGGTGAGATTGTTATAACTAATGATGTCAACTATGCGTTTGAGCAGGGTGATTCTTTTTTATAAGCAAGGACCAAGGTAGGAAACAAATTATTTTTTATGTTATGATTAATTTTTTTTTTTTTTGGTTTAAGTACCATTTTAGTCCCTTAACTTTATACATTGGTACCAAAATTTCCTTCACCTTTAAAAAGTACCAAAACTATCCTTGAACTTTTATTTTTGGTACCAAAATAGTCCTTCCGTCAGTTAAATGACAGATGTCACGTTAACTTGCCAGCAAATCACTTAACTTTTTAAATGTTAATGACGTATAAATCCAACAAGGAAAACTCTCATTTTTTTAATCAGTTAATACATTAAAAAAATTAAAATTACTTAAATGCCCTCATCCTCACCCTCCAACCTTCCTTTCTTCTTTCTCCTGCATCTCCTCCAAGCTCCAAGCAAACCAACAACTTCGAAAAATCTAGCAGCTCAAAAAAAAAAAAGAGCAATGGTAAACTCAGATTTCCATGGCTTAATCTCTATAAAAAAAACAAAATTTTTATGTTGAAAGCTTCACTTTTCCTTGGATCTATAAAAAAAATTGTGAACCAATTTGACAAAATCTTGTCTCCCTCCACCTCAAACCTTCCCCTCTGCAACAATCATTCTCCTTCCTCAGATCTATAAAAAACCCAAAATTTATATATTGAAAACTTCAATTTTCCAACCATTCAAGTAATTAATGAAAAATTCAAGATCCAAAAACAACTTGCTCACGCAGGCAGCCATGCCCAACGTCCTTGCGTCCACATGCTTCAACTCCTCGAACAACAGATTCTCGTCTAAATTCACAAACCCAGTTTCTTCACCTCGAACACGAGGGAGTAGCAGTGCCACGAGCGCGTCCCAGTTTCTTCACAAACCCAGTTTCGAGGAAGTATTATATGCAAGAGAACCCAGATCTGGGTTTTTCTCAAACCTAGAATCTGGTGCGAGGCTGCTGAAATGCCAGATCTGGGTTTGAGAAAAACCCAGATCTGGGTTCTCTTGCATATAATACTTCCTCGAAACCCCTTCCCTTATAAACCCAGCCTTTTCCAGCACCCTCTGCGACCCAATATTCTCCACATCCACCAGCGCCTCAAGCTCCTCAAACCCACCAAACTCTGGGTTTTTCCCAAACCAGATCTGGCATTTCAGCAGCCTCGCACCAGATTCTGGGTATGTTGTCCTAGGTCGAGAGAGTGAGATTGAGTTGAGAAATCCAACTCGTAAACGATCAAGGAGGAATTTGGAAAGGGAAGAGAAGTCGAAAGAGATTGAGAAGGAGAAGCAATGTTGGGGAAGAGTGAAGAGGAAGGGGAGAATAAGGAAGAAGAAGGTTAATTTTGAAAATGATTTTAATTAATTAATAAAAAATGGTTTTTATTTATTTGTTTAAAATTAAAAATGCCATGTAAACAAAATAACGTGCCATCTCATCAATTTTCGTGTGTTATCTTTTCCACATCAGCATGCTTTCAAAAAATAAAAAGATTTGCTGGCATTTTAACGTGTCACCTGGCATTTAACTGACGGAAGGACCATTTTGGTACCGAAAATGAAAGTTTGGGGATAATTTCAGTACTTTTTAAAGTTGAGGGACAATTTTAGTACTAAAATGATAAGTTGAGGGACCAAAATGGTACTTAAACCTTTTTTTTTTGGTTCTAATTTGTTTGTCAGCTATGTAACATTCCTTGAGTTGTGCATACCATATTTTCATTAACATTAGGGTATCAGCCAGGATTTACTTGTTTTCTAAAAGATTTAAGCAACAGAAGAGTTAGCAGAGTCCTGGGATTTGATGAATTATATTGAAACCAAACCAAATTCCATTATGCACGGTACTAAGCTTAATTAGGTGTAGATACATGGCATTGATGGATTTTAGAAACTTTAATTGAAATAAAAGTGAGACCTCACACCCAAAATAATAAATTAAATACAGATTTCTGAAAGTCGCGTAAGGGGTCAAACACCTTCAACTAGGTGCCGACACCTTCTGCTAAGTGCACAATGGAATCACCGTGTCGGGCTTTTGGCTTTTTAAGCAATTTCTGTTAATGGTAAAATAACAATTCTAGTCATTAACTTCTGAACTTCGCACAACTTAATCACCATATTTTTTATCTCTATAATTTACTTTTAAAAATTATGATTTCTTTCAATTAAGTCCTTTTTTATATAAAGAATGAAAATTATGTAAAATCAAATAAAATCTCATAAAACTCATTCAAATATCAATAATACCAAAACAAAAATTTCACATTAATATTTATATAAATTCAGCCTATCACAACTTATTGTTTTGAATTGGAAAAATAGGCATTTTATTTATTTTGCTGTTCTTAGTTACATGACAATGTTGTATGCTGAGCTTCTTCAATGACCTTCTTCCATTTATTTTGTATTCATGAATTTTACTTGTTAAATTGTAAAACAGAATTCCTCTTTTTTTTTTGGCTTCTGAATGCTTCATTTTCAAATAAATATAACTAGGACATGAAAGCCACTTATTTAACTACTAGTGGCAACTCTGAACATATTACATTACTGGAAACAAGTGTACTTAGCTTAGTTTACAGATGCAGAGAGGTGTCAACATCATCAGAATCCGAATAACGCTCAGGTTTGATCGAAGAAACTTCTGAATTAGGCGTCTTTTTGGGCAAAAAACTCATCAAAACTGGTGTGTTCTTACTGTCCATGGACGATTGCCCACTTTGTG